ATATCTTTCATTATGAAGAACAAAACTTCATGTAAGGTCAGCTGGCTTAGAAATCCCGAAATCCCATACTATGCATCAAAGATGTAATATTTTAAGTTGACGGACCAATGCTCACTATCACATTGAAACAGTAGGTAGGGCAGCCACAAAACATTAAATTACGGTCATAAAGAATTAATCTACATCATAAGACAGGTGTCTATGTCTTTCCAACTTGTACTATTTTCTTGGATCCATTTCTTTGACATTGATGAGTGCATATTTTGTTGTCTAATCCGACCTTTAATGGTATCATGGTGATTTCTTTTAATTCTGATTTGCTAGAGTATACAGGAGTCTCGATTGTGACACTAGCATGTAGAGGAAGAATAATTAGGCTGTGGGAATTTTATGCTGGATTGTATGTTATAACCTGCTTGCTAGCTAAGCAATCCATTAAAAATTTATGTTAAATTTATCTAGCAAATGGAATAAAACTAACATGACTATATCTATGTTCTGTGAATTTAATTTCCATAAATGAGTTTTCAAGAGTTAATTTTCATAGCATATCATTAGATTGACAAGGGCACTGCAGAAACACTTCCTTCTAATTTTATTAAATTCACTTCTTGTATTGTATTTAGATTGAATTAGGTGGAGCATCAGGGTTTCAGAATGAGAAACATAGAGTTTTAGACCCATTTTCTTTTTATTTTTATGTTGATTTTGTTTTAATTGCATTAATCATTAAATGCTTTCTTTTAGTTTATTTATTCTGAATAATTCATTAATTGGTTAAATTATAAATACTCGATGTACAAGAAAAGTCACAATGACAACTACAAATTGAGGAAGACAAATTTTAACTTTTCTTTTCCTTCTCATTTATTTTTGTGCTTATATGTTTTTAGATTCCCATTATTATGACTGGAAAGACTAATCTTGTTTTCATTTCTTTTACGGATCAGACCTGATAAATGATGAAATGTATGCATATACACTATTTATGACAATTTTTGACTTCTTTTATGCGCTAATTAATGATCCTTCATGTGACTAACATCTTTTTTCTATTTTAGTTCTGAGAGCTTTTTTCTCTATTTATAGGCTAGCATAAATCACAGTCCTTGCTTTAAAATGAATTAGTTGCGACTCATTTTTTGTAATTACTTTAGTTACTTAGAAAAATGTGTTCACTACAGCTTTGATCAATTGGTGCAATTGGTGCAATGGGTGCAAGAGCTTGGGGATTGAGCTTTCTTCTATTTGGTTTCATTTCCTTTTCAGTCTTTCTCTATGCTGCTGTCATATCCAAATTTCTTCCACCATCTGAGAATCCCATCTTAGCATCCATTCAAAAAGATAGGTACTATTTTACGCTGTTCCTGTAGTAGTTTTTGTATTCTGATAATTTGTGGGATAGATGTGTTATTGGCTTTTGAGTTGAATTCTAAGAGGATATGCTTGTCGTGCTTAAGTCACATCATGCTTTTATGAGTGTAGAGGAGGATTAAATGTGTGATTTTTGTTGACTTGGGATTCTGAAAATATATGTAAGACAATGGATGTAAGACAATAGAATTAGATCCTATTAGAATAAATACTTCGTATACCTTAAAGTGTTTTATCAAGATTTTCATATATAGGACCAGAAATTGTTGTTTTGAGTTGTCATTCTGATATAAAATTATTCACTGAAACACACTCAGTAGGATGCTGATTCGCTTTATTGTTCATGTTCTCCATTTGCTTTTCTCATTGGGTTTTTCTCTTATTGCAGATACTACAGTTTGCTAGTGCCATTGACCCTTCCTGTTCTTGTAATTTCTGTATACTTTCACTGGCTTAGCATGAAACTCTTCAAGCATGCCTGAAGCCTACTTTCTCAGGTTTCCAACACTATTTCCTGAAAAAAATTCTCAGTTTACCTCCATTTTACATTTTGGCGTCTACAGTTCATAAGTGTCATAATTGTTGCATGGTGTCTTTTTCCCATTAGGAAATAAGTTTTATAAGGATATGAACAATGTTTCTTGTGTCTAATATTGTTGAATGAGGTCAACCAGTTTGAATTTATTCAGTAGCTGAAACCATTCTCAAGGTGAGAGTTTCTGGGGCTGGGGAAAGAGCAGAAAATCGGATTTTGAATGTACAAATCACATTTATTTAGGTTGTTCATGCTGTTGAATATTTGACATATAAAAGATATGATTCTGGACTTTAAGGGTTGCTGAAAAAGCTATTTTCCTTGTGAGAGGAATCTGTCAGATGATACTCGGGTCACAGGTGACTCATTTCTCATTTATTTATTTTTAAAAGGAGGTGGCTCATTT